AAGCCTAACTTTACTAAATGTCGTATTTCATTTATTTACTTTGATATTTTCACGAACTTAGAATTTACCTACCCGTTTATTTATTCTAAGGCGTTGATATCGCCTTGAGAGACCGAATCTTACAGAATGCTCTGCTCCTGATGGTACACGAGTAGAGGCATCACCAAACACTGAGCGTGAGTTTCTAACTACCACACATATATCTCTAATAGTTAAGACACACAATAGTTGATAGCTTTGTTCATGAAGTGGGTGTTAATATTAATGAAATACAGAATGATATAGAAGTAAGGGAGGTAGATATAGACACTAGACCTTCAGACGACAATTATAAGGCTGGAGATGATCTTTTAGAACAAGACACGGTGCTGGAAACTTTAGCGCAAAGTTGCCACATATCAAAGACGACGCATCATATTTAGATTTATTTAAGTACCTTCTACCAATGACATGGGTGCGTAGTGAGCTTGTGCCTGCGACTAATGTTGCCTTAAGAAAGGCAGGTAAGCGTGAGATAGATGTTGGAGAGTACTTTGTATGGTTAGCATTGAGATTGATCATGGCTAAATATTACAGTAGGGGTGTAAACGGCTTCTGGATCTCATCTCGTGACCCACTAGACCCCCTTCCCTATTTTGGTTTGTACATGAACAAAACAAGATACATAGACATACAAAAAAATTTATGCTTGCGTGCAGCACCCATTACACCGGAAGAGAGAGCAGACCAGGGTTATTTTATGCGTAGCTTAGTACATGAATGGAATAGCAATATGGACAAACACTTTTTCTGTTCTGAAAAAGTGTGCATCGACGAAACCATGATGGCGTGGGACAATCCTAAAGACTATGCGCAAATTCACTGTCCTCGTAAGCCTAAGCAGTGCGAGAACGAGTGGAAGACAATTGTATGTTGTGCAGCAAATATAATATTCCATGTTGACTTGTGCGAGGCGAAAGTGAGGCCAGAGTATCTACCTGCCTTGAAGTATACAGATCAACTGTCAACTGTAAGTATCGTAATGAGACTAACCGATGGTATACGAGGTACGGATCGTAAGGTTATCATGGACTCTGGATTCTCAGTTCTTAAGGTACTATATATGCTATTAACATTCGGGTTATAAGTAATGTTCATAGCAAAAAAGCGGGGTTCATGGCCGAAGGGAGTTCCCGGAGACAAAATCAAAGATCTTATGGCAACTAACCCCTTGTTCAGTGTTGGTACCCTTCAAGGTGCCTTTAATTATAACAAGGATGCTGTCCAGGGGCAAATTTTACTACCCAACATCGATATGTCTACTGGTCAATGGGTTTTTGGCCTATCGAAAGAATGGTCGTAGAGACACGTAAAGGTTATCTCTAAGCGCACATAAGAAAAAGAAACATGCTCAGCTATCTAACCTCACTATACATCAATTTTAAGCCATCATACTTCACTATCACCATACATACACGATACAGTACGCCGTAATAGACCAAATTTTCATGCCACTCGTACGGCATAATATACCTCTACTAGGTATGAACATCCTTAGGATGAAATGTTCAGAAGAACAAGCTCTTTGAGCTCATCTATTTAAAACATGAAACTGTTTATTATTCACACGAATATGCGACATTAAATATAGCACTGTATGATGTATTGTTTTAACAAATTTGTCCACTAGAGCAAACAGGTGAACCTAATCTCACCGTTTTGAGGTCGCAGTTTGATTGGCTCAACTACAATAATAGGTTGGATGAAATAGTATTTTGGTCCCACAAATTGAGGAATGAATGTCGCGCTAAACTACTAGAAGAATAACTAGAAGATGAGAATAATAGTGCCGAAGGTGGATTGGCAGAAGAAGTTGATAGCGAAGAAGAAGACCGCTTTCGAGATCCGAGAGGTCGCAAAAGTGCACTATCCACATGGCATATGTATGTTAGGTACATATTAGCATTCAGAAAGTCGCGCAACAATCTCAGCGCTTTAGGAGTGTACTTTGGTTTTACAGATGATACAGTCAAACGTATATATATAACGCTATGTATAGCTATAAGTAGAATATTTCAGGCTAGACAACCTTTTCCAACTGCGGAGCAATCCGCAGAATTTACGCCCGAACGAACGCGATCTGCAATACATTTACAACCTGGAGTGAGGATTGTTATTGGTGACGCCGTAGAGTTGCGAGCGAAACGCCCCGGATGCAATATAGATGCACAAAGTGTATTCTATAGTGAGTACAAAAATTATCCCACTTTAAAATATACCGTTTTCAGCAATGGAGGAACCTACCCATGCGATATTACTAAAAGTTATCCTGGTCAGGTATCTGACAACGGAATCGACAATAACGAATTATACGGACCAAAAATAATCAAGGGCAATGGCAGTACAAAATGTTATACATGTATGATAAAGGCCTCACCGATAGGTACGAATTAGAGAGATTAGGAGTATTAGTCTGCACTCCCCGAAAACGACAAGCGAATCAATTCGCATTTAGCCATGAACGTGCTGAGTACGACCGGGACATAGCAAAAGAACGCACCAACATCGAAAGAACGATGGAAGAACTTCGTAATTGTATACAAGGGACATAGTGGTAAGAACAAAACTTTATCCGAGGTAGATTTAGCCGATCATGAAGCACAATGTGCACGCGGGTATGTTAATCTAGATCCACCAATTACAGAATGGTGGATGGATTTACCAAAAGCAAGTGAAGAGTTGATTGATGCGTATATAGAGGCAGCCGATCTTGCAACCTCCGTTGCGGAGGAAGACATCATGGATATATTATGAACAAAAATAAATTTACATATATTTAATTATTTAATTATAAATACAGTTATTCTGTTGGTTGCCAGAGTATTTGATCCATTTTTAGTGTTTCTCTTCTTTGTAAGTACTGAGTTTTGCGGCGCGGTATGCTTCGTACAGTTCTCGCTCTTCACTACTCATATCCTTCTTCAACAATTCCAAATGGGAGCTCTTCAAAAGTATAAACTTCGATCGTGTAACAGTACACGCGAAGTCTCGACTTTGGTTGACGAATTTTTTCGCCACCACAATCGCATGTTGATTGGGGTCCATCTTTCGTACAGCGGGGCGCTTATTCCAGCTACATGCCGCGTAGGTGAATCCGGAATCCCCTAAATCCCGTACGCGTTCCAGGCATGCACGGATATGGACACAATTAGTATGGTTGTGACATGGATTAATTTTGAGAGTCTCTCTCACACATTCTCCTTCTTCGGTGGTTACAGTCTTCTTGTCTGAGAGCGGCAGCATACAGTTGCACTCCTCTATGGATTCTATATACCAGGCATTAGTAGCATTTTGATCCTTATCTATAACCAGTACACAAACCACTCTCATCTTATCATGTCTATATGATCTTGCAACATCCGCCCTAGCATACATCAGTTTTTTATTCTTTCGATTTTCATCATCTTGTAATGGTTCATAATCCTGTTCCACGGCCTGTCGAAGAGTATATGCACTTGAACCAAAA